AAAAATACCAGCAATACATATTTGGAAAAAAAATATTACCAGACTCTCAACAAAAACCCTCAATGAAACCTGATCTACAAACTGATTTCTTAGAATGAATGTACATATTCTATTCATATGAACCTAAAAATCTTGTCAGCAGTAAAAACCCATTGAGGATGAAGTGCCGTAAACAAAATAAACCAAACCTAGGGGGTACAAGCACCCCCTGGTTAAGAACCACTGGTTTAAAATCATTGATAACTGCATATAACTGATGCTGCCCTTTTTTTCAATTTTTAATAGTACAAAGTTACCAATAATGTCAAACACAGTTTCCAACTTAGCATTTGTAAATAAAAACAAAGTACAGATAACTCTTTAAGAACTCAGGGATTGATTTGATGCTATATTTGTATTGTGAATGGGACACCCCACTTCTAAAATTATTATAAAAAACAAAAAATCAATATTTTTTTTTCTTTAATCTGGCAACATTGGTAGAGAAGAGTCTCTGATGTCTGATCTATTTTCCTATTTATTCATGCCAAACATTTGTAGCAATACAATTTCTCACACATCCTTAGGAGATGAATAGATAGATTCTTTTTCCTTTTAAGTCAATTTAATGCCCAGGGTTTCTCAGGAATCCTCTCTCCAGTCTGCCTTTGAATTGGCAAACATAAAGTTTTGTTAGTGATTTTAGATAGCTATAAAAGTAACTTTGAAAAAATGACCACCCTGAAGCTGACTGGGTGGTCCCCTTTTCCAGTTATTGGAACACATTTGGACGAACCGGGATGGTGGGTCCCCCAGCCAGTGGTCAGTGAAAGGACTGGCAGTCAATGAAGTGACTAGGAGTCAATGAGATGGCCAGCAGTCTGTGAGACTGTTAGGTAGTGAGTGTATAGGGATCCTTTATCTATGGCTGAAAGTTAGTGAGATACCAGAAGCCTTTTTCTTGAAGCAGAAGGAAAACATTGTTGATTGAGTGAGAAATCATATCGCTACTTCCCAAGCAGTGTCTTGATAAGCATTTGTCATTATTCTTTGTCAATGTTGCCCTAATATTCAGACAAACCTGTGAATATAGCAAGTGATGGTGTGTATTCACATACAGCCAATCTTGGATGTCATCACAGCTTGTGCAGTGAAGTGCAGAATAACATCATCGCACATTGTCTTTATTGGATTTAGCTTCTTTTTTTTTTATTCATACACTGTGAAACTTATTTTTTCTAAAAATGTCTGTGGATTTTATTATTTTGTTTGAAGATTTTAAGTTTAAAAATGTTGAATTTTTGTTTTTCTTTATTACATTGGATTTTATCTTTTCACCTCCATTTCATGAATTTTATACATTTTTACTTTATATTTTCTTAAAATAATGTTTTTTTAATCATTTCACTCCCAAGCAAGGCATTAAAGCCACTAAGGCTCAAGTGGTTACTGAGTGTGAAAGAACAGGAGAAAAAGAAAACATTATTAAACAGAGAGAATAATAAAAGAAAAGGAATTAAGTAAACAGAAGATAATAGTTGACCTTGCATTTAAATTTTTGAAGATAAAAAGATGGCAACTGGTCTGCCGCAGAAAGAAATGGCAACCTAATGCAGGAAAAAAATCTGCCTCCTTACTCATGTATTGAAAGATACATGATTGCCTAAGCGTGTATCACGCATGGCACCTCCAACTGACTGAGGAAGGAAGGAAGACAGAACAGAAAAGAAAAGTGAATAAAAGGGATAAAAAAGAAAGGAAGAAATAAAGGAGGAGGAAAAGGAAAATATGAAGAGGAAAGGAAAAGAAAAAAGAAAGAAAGAAATGGAAATAATGAATGGAAAAAAAAATAAAGAAAAAAGAATGAAATAAAGAAGGAAAGTGGAGAGCCGAGTTTGAATTCTAGTCGAATCCATTATATTCACTTACATGCTAATACCCTTGGGAAAGGTATAAAACTATTTCTTCTCTCACCAGTTATGGTCAAATAGCAGGACAGACCGGGTTCTATAGCCTTGGATGGCAACTGTATTAATGGATGTAGAAGAATGGCTATTCAAGACAACTTTCATTTTGGGATTTGATAAAGATTGAATCAGATCAAAAAAAAAAAGCAAATGAAATGGTCTGAAAATGATCAATCAAGACAAAGATAAACTCATTTTCCTATTCCATCCTGGGTATGACGATAAACTATGTCCAACAGCAAGGCCTCTGTTCAGGAGGCTTTGAGGAACGTGGAACCACCTCTTAATTGCTGGTGTTCCCAGGTCCACCCTAACACGTGGTGGTAGCACCTGTTAGGGTCCCAGCTATGGGCAAATAGTTAACCCTGAAACTGAGGTAAAAAGCATTTTGAAAGTGTGAAAATACACTTTAATACCAGAAATACTTTGTAAAAAATTATTACCAGAAATAAATTTTTGAAAAAAAACTATTAGCAGCAATGTGTTTTTGAAAAAAAAAATATTTGCGGCAATACGTTTTTGGAAAAAAAACAATCAGCAGCAATACATTTTTGAAAATAATATTACCAGCTATATAATTTTGAGGAAAAAAATATTTCTAGAAATAGATTTTTGACAAAACAAAGATATTACCAGGAAAAAAAAAAGTTGACGACATTAAATGACCCATTGAGGTTGATATGCCATAAAACCAAACCAAACCATTATTTACTATTGAAATTTATAAAATATTTTAGCAGGGGGTACAAAAGATGGGTTACAAAAAATGATATTACCATAAAATAATTATATCAAAATGCGACATGATTAACAAAAAAAAAATGACAGCTATACCTTCCCTGCCACCTATTATCTCAAAGTTTTAAATGCAATGTCAACTACCATTTTCCTTCTTTGTGAACACTGTTCTTTTATTGCCCTTTTTCTTCACAAGAGTCTCCCCATTCTCTTTCCTCCCCAGTAACTGCTGTCATCTTACTGATATTATCATCTTGCTTGGAATGCCATGATTTTGAAAAATGCTTTATTGGTCTGCTCTCATTTGAATGACATCAAAGATAAAAAAAAAATGCACACTTCTCACCTTCCGGTTTCTTGCTTTCTAGCCAACTTTGATATTCAAAAATTTTAAATGCAGTATCAATTGTTATCTACTGTCTTCTTGATTCCTCTTCTTTTATTGTTCTCTCTCTTTAATAATGTTTTTCTTTTTCCTATTCTTTCACAATGAGTAACCCCTTGTGTCTTAGTGGCTTTATTGCCTTGCATAGGATGAAATGATTAAAAGAAAACAAAAACTAAAAAATGAACATCATAGACCAAGTATTGTATAAAAAAAAATATAACCTCATATCCATGTACAAAACCTATAACATTCTTACAGCAATTACTTTAACCACTGAAGTTACAAGTTTAAAGGGTTTGGTGCCAAGTCTTAAGTTAGCAGAATCTTTATCAATTTTGGAGTCCATGCAATATTTAGAAACTTCATCTTACTGGCAAAAGAGCCAACAGTTTCAGAAAAAGAAAAAAGTGGGTATGCATGGCCCCTCAAATTTCCTTAGTATAAGGTCACTGTTTTAAAATATCATGGGAAGGTTAAGGAATCCTGGAGCTGAAAGCCTTGAATTAGTTAGGCTAGTAATTTTTTTTATTTTATTTCAGTCATTACAGTGTATTCAGTACACACTCTGGTTTTCTTTACTTTGAAATATCCTGTGTTTCATGCTCAGCTGAAGTGTAAAACTTGAGCATCCAGGCTGAATATTTTCAATTGGTTTTAGTTACCAGCCTATTTTGGTTCTTTTCCATTAACAGCTATATATATATATATATATATAAAACAAATTATAACATAAATATGTTATAAAATCACTACAAAAATAGCCATTTTGTTTCAACACCCTTAGTGTCTTATCAAGTGATGATGTTGAAGATAAAAGAATTGGAATTCATTCCGTATATACCAATTATATACTTGTATATAAATATATATATATATATATATAATATATTTCATTGAATACGACAGATAAGGTGCTTTGATTCAGTTTTTTATACAATTTCTTATGTGATCTAATAATTTTTTCCTTTTCAGATGATAAATTATATAAAACCTGCCTGAACATTCTTTTTATCCGAACGGTTTCAGCTATACATTTAGTCATTTTCAAGGTTGAAATATTTTAACTGTTAAATAAATAGTTCATTGCATGTATGTATTTATATAATGTTTTCATTTTCAAAACACAGTCAAGATATTGTGTCCCTGTTTCTAGTTGATATTATTGAGTGTTGGTTTTGAAAATGAAATCACCCAAGCATAAAATACTTCAGGTTTTGTTGCAAAGAAATGCTTGGTATTATTTTTTAACTTCACTATAAATAAACAGTTTTCTCTCTAAAACATGTTGCAATGATCTGAAAAGATGATAGTCAGATGGTGCAATACCAGGAGAGTAAGGAGGATGAGGCACAATGAACATTTTTATTGCCATAATTCTTTTCTCAGTGACCCTGTCAATATGTGGTCTTGCATTATCATGTAAAGACTGCATGCCTTTATGATTAACCAATGATGGACGTTTTTCTGCAAATAAAAATTAGATATCAATTTGAAACTTTTCACAATTAATAAACTGTTTTCCCTCTAAAAAGTGTTACAATGATCTGAAAAGATGGAGCAATACCAGGAGAGTAAGGAGGCTGAGGCAAAATGTACATTTTTATTGTCATAATCATTTCCTGAGTCACTTGGTCAATATGTGGTCTTGTATTAACATGTAAATACAACATGTCTTTATGATTAACCCATGATGAACACTTATACTGCCAATTTCTGTGCAGTGCTTCCACTTGACAACAATACTTCACTGCATTAACTGCTTCATTTTAGTTTAGCATTTCGTGAAAGATAACATCCTTCATATCCTAACTAAATACAGAGCATACCTATTTTTCATTGATTTTCATTATTCAATAGAATTCTTAATTGATATATTTAATAAAAGTATTTGCATTATTGATAACAATCCCATCTATTTGGGGCTTAAAGCCATATCATGTTGAAACAGCTGTTCCTGTATGATCACTGAAGTTAAGCAGCATCAAGCCTGGTCAGTACCTGGATGGGTGACTGCTTGGGAATATCAGGTGCTATAAATTTGGATCTGCAGGTGATGTAATGGATAATGGCTTGGAATTGTTAATCAAAAAGCTGAGTTCCAATTCCAGTTAGGTTTGTTATATCCATTTACATGCAAATACTCTCAGGAAAGGTATGAATCCACATCTTCTCTCCCCCTGTTATAGGTTAATTAGTAGAACTTTATTTTTTAATTTTATTTTTTTTGTTAAGGCTGGTAAAAATTGTATTTATAAAAGAAAGATTGGCAATATTTAACCTTCATGCCTACAAAAAAACAAAAAGAAAACAGTATGTCAGAAGAACAGTTATTCCCTTGACACCACTATTACTGTATACACTTTTGACACCCTTGACAAAGTTTGTTTTAAAAAGCAAAATAGATAATATTGTATGTTTCTTCAAATTTTCTCGTTTTGTAGTTCACTGATATAAAACTTGTTTTCATAGTTATTTATAAAATGGTAAAATAATAAATATTGCATTATAGTTGGGTTGCATATTTTGATAATTTTTGTTATTTTTTATAAATTTTTTAATACAATGTTTTCTTTTCAAATTTATTACTTTATAAAATGTTAAATAATAAATATTTATAGTGATTTTCCAAGTGTGGCTTAGATGTGGCACAAGGCCGAAAGTAGGGGGCACCCAGTGAGGATTGAACTTACTACTCAGTCATAATTGTTCTAGTGAGAAAAGCTTGTTAGCCATTACACCACCTCAAGGTGCCGAAATAATAAATCTTTATAAAAGGTAGATAATAAATATCACATTGTACTTGATTCATATATTTTTATAATCTTGTAAACAAACATTGCTGAGGGAGTCAAATGTAATAGCGGTGTCAAAGAAATAGCTGTCCTTTTACCACATTTTTTATGCAGGTTCAAAGGTTAAAGATTGCCAAAAGATTATTGCCAGAATTAGTTTTCTTTCATATTTTTGGCCTTTGTTTTGTTAAAATTTCTCTCTTTTCAGGGCAAAGCTATCAAAACTGAAAACATGCTTGTGGAAGATGCTACTGTTACCCGGGTAGGTTACTACTGTTTTGCTTTTGATATATATATATACATATATGTATGTGTTTACACAGATACAGGCACATTTGTTTACACAGACACTATATCTGTGTAGCGTGGGGGTGTCAAACTCATTTTAATTCACAGGCTACATATCAACCCAATTTGATCTTTAGCAAGCCAGAACAGTAAAATCATGGCATAAGAAACTTTTAAATAGCAATTGCAACATTTTCCTTTTGTTTTAATGTAAAAACGTACATTCTGAAAATGTTCATGTTTGTTGTAGCATACCTAAGGACAATAATGGATATGTTCCCATTCACATAAATAGAGTAGTAAATACTGTATGTTGGCCTGCAGTTGGAGATTCATTGTGGAATTCACTTGACTCACTTCTAGCAGTTGACTACTACTTCTACATGCTGCTGGCAAATCTTATATGTGTTGTTCTTGTCCTAAGTATTATCAACATTAGCAAACTCATGTGATTATTCTATTCAGTAGCCTTCCGTATGTTACAACACATAGTAAAAACAATTTTCAATACATTTTCATAGTAAAAATCATTGGCCAATGCATTTTCATAGTAAAAATCATTGGCCAATGCATTTTCATAGTAAAATCATTGGCCAATGCATTTTCATAGTAAAAATCATTGGCCAATGTATTTCATAGTAAAATCATTGGCCAATGCATTTTCATAGTAAAAATCATTGGCCAATGCATTTTCATAGTAAAAATCATTGGCCAATGCATTTTCATAGTAAAAATCATTGGCCAATGCATTTTCATAGTAAAAATCATTGGCCAATGTATTTCATAGTAAAAATCATTGGCCAATGCATTTTCATAGTAAAAATCATTGGCCAATGCATTTTCATAGTAAAAATCATTGGCCAATGCATTTTCATAGTAAAAATCATTGGCCAATGCATTTTCATAGTAAAAATCATTGGCCAATGCATTTTCATAGTGTTGTAGCATACCTACGGACGATAGTGGGTATCCCCCCCACATTCACATAAATACAGTAGTAAATACTGTATGTTGGTCTGCAGTTACAGATTCACTGTGGTATTCACTTGACTCATTTCTAGCAGTTGACTACTTCTTCTACATGCTGAATCTTATATGTGTTGTTTTTGTCCTAAGTATTATTGTTCATTGCTTCCTTTGATTATTCTAATCCTAGGTAACAACAATGTTTAAGGAACAATTTTTTTTTTTTTTGAAAAACATTGAACAAGTGAAAGTGAGAACTATAAAAGAAGACTAAGTTATCACACTGCTTTGCAAATGTAAATTAGAAAGAAAAACATTTAAAAACATTTTTATTTTTTTTATCATTTATTTTCAATATGTTTCTGAAACTTGGCATCTTTTCGCCTTCACAAGTGCATCAATATCAGGCATCAAAACCTGAGTAGCAGCCAATTTCAGAATATCATTTAGGTGCTTATGTATGGGCCTTGAGCACAGCTTTGTTTTATTGATGCTCATTACAGAGAAAACTTGATCACATATACATAATACCTCATCTCAGAAATATAGACAGTTCATTGAATTAATTTTAAAAAAGTAAATAAATATATAATATAATTTTTACACATTTCAAAATCATCTTGTGGGCCAGATGAAACCCTGCAGCAGGCCAGTTCAAGAACCTGGGCCGTATGTTTGACACCCCTGGTGTAGAGTGGGAAATTTTTATCATGGGAAGGAGTTGTATAATGCACAACTGTCTTTTGAGATATGTGTGGGTTTACACATATATAGACACATACATGTATATGTGTGCTTACACAGGGATGTACTACAAGGTGTGGCAGAAATACCTCCCACATAATGGTATGACATTAGCTAGATGAAGATATCATTGTACTTCATGACACCATCATTTGGGAGGTATTTCTGCCATACCCTGTATATTTGTTTATAGTGTGTTAGTTCCAAGCACTGGATTGACTGCAAAAACATACCCCTCCCCAGATTTATAAACAGATTCTGCAGATGCATGCTGGGATTTTTTTCCTAACCAATAAAAATGGACCACTTTTTCCATATTTTTGTTCTTTTTTGTCTTGCAGTCAGGACACTATAATCACTTGACTGCATCCCTTTTGCATGTTAATAGCATTCTTACTTTGTTAACTTTTTACCTTATTCCTGTTTCTTTGTCTACTTTTGACTTGCATATATATTGTTTGCTTAGTATTATTTTACCCTGTTCTTTTCTTCCTTTTCGTATTGTTTATTGTAAATTTTGTCAATTCTGTTTGTTGAGTATTTTTGCCAATTACACTTAAACATGGTCTATTACTCAACACAGTGTGAAAAATTTTATCATGGTAAGGAGTTGTATAATATGAAATCTGATTAAAAAATCTCCTGTCTCTTGCTATGGTAATGGAGCCAATGTACGCAGAGTAATGCCACTTGACACAGATTCACCTGGAACTCTGTTGTACATGCAAACTAAGTTATAAGATTTTCGCTCACTTTCATCATTTATATCAGTGCTTGGAAGGAAAGTGTATAGAGTGTGGTCGTCTCACTACACCACAGAGGTTCCTTCAGTGACCATGGCTTGTGCAGCATTTTCTGGCAAAGAACAGCATTCTTCAGGTCCAACAACCACCATATTCCTCAGATCTTTCTAATTGCAACTTCCTCTTCCCCAAAATCATATCCTATTTGAAACAAATAAGATTTAAAGATGTCGAGGAAATCAAAGATAATGCAATGAGGCAGCTGTGTGCTATCACAAAATGGAGTTCCAGGAATGTTTCCATAAATGCTTCATCTAAGAAATTCAGACAACATAAGACTATTTCTACTTGGTGTAAAAGCAAGAGAAATAAGATGCAAGAAATACTAGTCAAAAATGAATAATAATTGCCTAGGCTTCATCTAAGAAATTCAGACAACTTAAGACTATTACTACTTGGTGGAAAAGCAAGAGAAATAAGATGAATGAAATACTAGTGAAAAATGAATAATAATTGCCAAGGCTTCATCTAAGAAATTCAGACAACTTAAGACTATTACTACTTGGTGGAAAAGCAAGAGAAATAAAATGAAAAAATACTAGTCAAAAAAGAATAATAATTGCCAATGCTTCATCTAAGAAATTCAGACAACTTAAGACTATTACTACTTGGTGAAAAGCAAGAGAAATAAGATGAAAAAAATACTAGTGAAAAATGAATAATAATTGCCAAGGCTTCATCTAAGAAATTCAGACAACTTAAGACTATTACTACTTGGTGGAAAAGCAAGAGAAATAAAATGAAAGAAATACTAGTCAAAAAAAATAATAATTGCCAATGCTTCATCTAAGAAATTCAGACAACTTAAGACTATTACTACTTGGTAGAAAAGCAAGAGAAATAAGATGAAAGAAATACTAGTGAAAAATGAATAATAATTGCCAAGGCTTCATCTAAGAAATTCAGACAACTTAAGACTATTACTACTTGGTAGAAAAGCAAGAGAAATAAGATGAAAGAAATACTAGTGAAAAATGAATAATAATTGCCAAGGCTTCATCTAAGAAATTCAGACAACTTAAGACTATTACTACTTGGTGGAAAAGCAAGAGAAATAAAATGAAAGAAATACTAGTCAAAAAAAGAATAATAATTGCCAATGCTTCATCTAAGAAATTCAGACAACTTAAGACTATTACTACTTGGTAGAAAAGCAAGAGAAATAAGATGAAAGAAATACTAGTGAAAAATGAATAATAATTGCCAAGGCTTCATCTAAGAAATTCAGACAACTTAAGACTATTACTACTTGGTGGAAAAGCAAGAGAAATAAGATGAAAGAAATACTAGTGAAAAATGAATAATAATTGACAAGGCTTCATCTAAGAAATTCAGACAACTTAAGACTATTACTACTTGGTGGAAAAAGCAAGAGAAATAAGATGAAAGAAATACTAGTGAAAAATGAATAATAATTGCCAAGGCTTCATCTAAGAAATTCAGACAACTTAAGACTATTACTACTACTTGGTGGAAAAGCAAGAGAAATAAGATGAAAGAAATACTAGTGAAAAATGAATAATAATTGCCAAGGCTTCATCTAAGAAATTCAGACAACTTAAGACTATTACTACTTGGTGGAAAAGCAAGAGAAATAAGATGAAAGAAATACTAGTGAAAAATGAATAATAATTGCCAAGGCTTCATCTAAGAAATTCAGACAACTTAAGACTATTACTACTTGGTGGAAAAGCAAGAGAAATAAAATGAAAGAAATACTAGTAAAAAATGAATAATAATTGCCAAGGCTTCATCTAAGAAATTCAGACAACTTAAGACTATTACTACTTGGTGGAAAAGCAAGAGAAATAAGATGAAAGAAATACTAGTGAAAAAAATGAATAATAATTGCCAAAAAAATAAGAAATTCAGACAACTTAAGACTATTACTACTTGGTGGAAAAGCAAGAGAAATAAGATGAAAGAAATACTAGTGAAAAATGAATAATAATTGCCAAGGCTTCATCTAAGAAATTCAGACAACTTAAGACTATTACTACTTGGTGGAAAAGCAAGAGAAATAAGATGAAAAAAGAAATACTAGTCAAAAAAGAATAATAATTGCCAATGCTTCATCTAAGAAATTCAGACAACTTAAGACTATTACTACTTGGTTAAGGAAAAGCAAGAGAAATAAGATGAAAGAAATACTAGTGAAAAATGAATAATAATTGCCAAGGCTTCATCTAAGAAATTCAGACAACTTAAGACTATTACTACTTGGTGGAAAAGCAAGAGAAATAAGATGAAAGAAATACTAGTCAAAAAAAGAATAATAATTGCCAATGCTTCATCTAAGAAATTCAGACAACTTAAGACTATTACTACTTGGTAGAAAAGCAAGAGAAATAAGATGAAAAGAAATACTAGTGAAAAATGAATAATAATTGCCAAGGCTTCATCTAAGAAATTCAGACAACTTAAGACTATTACTACTTGGTGGAAAAAGCAAGAGAAATAAGATGAAAAAATACTAGTGAAAAATGAATAATAATTGCCAAGGCTTCATCTAAGAAATTCAGACAACTTAAGACTATTACTACTTGGTGGAAAAAGCAAGAGAAATAAGATGAAAGAAATACTAGTGAAAAATGAATAATAATTGCCAAGGCTTCATCTAAGAAATTCAGACAACTTAAGACTATTACTACTTGGTGGAAAAAAAAGAGAAATAAGATGAAAGAAATACTAGTGAAAAAATGAATAATAATTGCCAAGGCTTCATCTAAGAAATTCAGACAACTTAAGACTATTACTACTTGGTGGAAAAGCAAAAGAAATAAGATGAAAAAATACTAGTGAAAAAATGAATAATAATTGCCAAGGCTTCATCTAAGAAATTCAGACAACTTAAGACTATTACTACTTGGTGGAAAAGCAAGAGAAATAAGATGAAAAGAAATACTAGTGAAAAATGAATAATAATTGCCAAGGCTTCATCTAAGAAATTCAGACAACTTAAGACTATTACTACTTGGTGGAAAAGCAAGAGAAATAAGATGAAAAAAATACTAGTCAAAAAAAAAATAATAATTGCCAATGCTTCATCTAAGAAATTCAGACAACTTAAGACTATTACTACTTGGTAGAAAAGCAAGAGAAATAAGATGAAAGAAATACTAGTGAAAAATGAATAATAATTGCCAAGGCTTCATCTAAAAATTCAGACAACTTAAGACTATTACTACTTGGTGGAAAAGCAAGAGAAATAAGATGAAAAAAATACTAGTGAAAAATGAATAATAATTGCCAAGGCTTCATCTAAGAAATTCAGACAACTTAAGACTATTACTACTTGGTGGAAAAGCAAGAGAAATAAGATGAAAAGAAATACTAGTGAAAAAATGAATAATAATTGACAAGGCTTCATCTAAAAATTCAGACAACTTAAGACTATTACTACTTGGTGGAAAAGCAAGAAAAATAAGATGAAAAAAATACTAGTGAAAAATGAATAATAATTGCCAAGGCTTCATCTAAAAATTCATCTAAGAAATTCAGACAACTTAAAAGCTATTACTACTTGGTGGAAAATAATAATTGCAAAGAAATCAGACAAATAAGATGAAAGAAAAGATGAAAGAAATACTAGTGAAAATAGAATAATAATTGAAAAACAACTTAAACTATTACTACTTGGTGGAAAAGCAAGAGAAATAAGATGAAAGAAATACTAGTGAAAAATGAATAATAATTGCCAAGGCTTCATCTAAGAAATTCAGACAACTTAAGACTATTACTACTTGGTGGAAAAGCAAGAGAAATAAGATGAAAGAAATACTAGTGAAAAATGAATAATAATTGCCAAGGCTTCATCTAAGAAATTCAGACAACTTAAGACTATTACTACTTGGTGGAAAAGCAAGAAAATAAGATGAAAATAATACTAGTGAAAAATGAATAATAATTGCCAAAAGAAGGTCTAAGAAATTCAGACAACTTAAGACTATTACTACTTGGTGGAAAAGCAAGAGAAATAAGATGTAAGAAATACTATAGCATTTCAAGTTTATGTTCAGAATAATCACACTCAAATTGATACTAAACAATTTCAAGTTGACAAATATATTTTTAAACAAAACAATTGAGGCATAACAATGAAACTGAGCTAGAAAATATTGTCACTAACTCATGAATTATAGAATATCACTGTACTTGTGCATGCCAAAAATTCATGTCCTCAAGATCCAAGGCTGGCTGTATAAATTGCCTAACATGTGCCAGCAGAGTAGTACATTTAAGCAGGGTTAATGGAGGTATATTATCAGCAATCACTTGCTCACGTTGTACACTGTGAAATTCAGTTTGTGTTGCATTTCCCCATCTTTAAAGCTACCTCAGATTTTACACCAGCCTTAAGAATTGACCATGCTCCTTCTGTTGATGATTGTTTTTGTTGATATCACTATTCGCATTCTCCAGCTCATTGTAAGCTTTTTTTAAGGTCCATTCAAATGTTGTCTAACACATTCAGAACTCACAACCATATTGAATCTCTGCTGTATCAAAGCTGCCAGCTGCTTCAACGTTATTCATGGGTTCTCCCCCACACACTCTTCAATAAAAGCCTTGTGTTCAGCACCACTTTTAGAACACTGCAATCCACCATATTGCTTTTCAGGTTCAGTACATTTAGTTACCCATTGGTATGCTGTGGATTTTTTAATTCCAAGACTGTTCGCAAGACTTTGTCAGTCTCCATTAGTATCCTATGCTACTTTTACTTGCTTCTTCAAATCAGCCACCTGGACTTTCTTAATATAATTACCACGTTGATTACCAACAGCTGCCATGACAATCATTTCAGGTGTGGAGGGGTGAAGAACGAAATATTTTATTTGTTAAAGAAAACCATATCATTGTGATTAATTTAATCAATGTGCATATATGGTGTGTTTAACTGATGGCGCATGTCGTGAATTGCTGTTCTTGGACATTGACATTTACACTTGGGTGGTACCAACTTGAAATTGTTTAGCACTAACTTGAACTTAAAATGCTATAGTCATAAATTCATAATAATTGATAATACTTCATCTTACTTATTATAAAACGCAGATTGTGTGTGTCTGTATGTTTATATATTGGATCGGATTTCCTACATTTTTCAACCAATTTCAACAAAACTTCACAGGACTACATAAAATTATCTTGCGGTGGTTCTGTCAGTGCCAAAAATTGGAAAAACACAATTGTTTTTGCATGAAATCAATTTGAAAACATGATTAAGAGGCATTAATGAAAGGGGGACAACTCATATAGAGTTATACTTATTAATATTGAATTTATTTATACTTATTATAAAACCCAGGTTGGTTGGTTGTGTGTGTGTGTTCATTTATATATGGGATCGGATTTCCTACATTTTTCAACCGATTTCAACAAAACTTCACTTTTTTTTGGCAGGTAGTGTTTCTTATTGTCTTGCACACTTTTTTCTTTATTTTTACATTCAGAATGCTTTAAAAATTCCATTTACAAGACAATTGTTTATAATAAAATTCTATTCAATCGGTAGATTTATAACGATTGAAAACAATGTTTTTGTTTGGGTTTGACCAATTCGTAAAAAAAAAAAAAAAAATTAAGACATGCGTGTCCGTCAGCCTTAAACAATAATCTTTGTCAATTTTATTTTTCAGTCTTTATGATGGTCGATACTTAATCTATCTCTTACTGTTACATCCCCGGGCAACACCAGGCTCTACTGCTAGTCTAATAATGAAAATTCAAGATATGATTATTAAACTTTCCAAGGAACTACGTATGTTTCCCAGTTTTAAATAATATTTCAAAAAACATTTTTCTCTCAGGAATGGATCTTCTGTTCATGATAGTACATCAAATGTGACTAGAAATTTGGCCCAGTTCCGACCGAATTTCTTCTTGTGCATTTATTACAAATTAAATTCTTGTATATCAGGGGATTTTGTATATGCAAACAAAATCATCAAGTATTTCTGCTATGGATTCCTAACTCTTATTTATTTATCTTTCTTTTCCAGAAACAATTGAATACGTTGAATAAAATCACTAGTAATATTCTGGACATTATCAACTCTGCGAGAGACGAATGGGAAAGTGAAGCCAGTAAGTCAAATTCTTTGTCTTCATTTGAGGAAAAAGTGTGAAGACACATCTATCAAACACTTTGCTATACAGACCAGCATTGCTTATCTTGTTATGCTTATAACATTTTGGCTGTTGTACCCTCTTTAGCTGTCTGTCATTGTACTCTCTAAATTGTTGGCAATCTAGTACTGTGCTTAAATTCATTAAAATCTTGGAACCATAGTGAAGAGCTAATCTAAACAATTACCATGGAAATATATATATATATATATATATATATATATAAAAAGGCACAGGGAAAAATTGACTGAAGCTGAGGTGCCAGGTCAGGTGCAATAATATTGCTGATTCTTCTTTGAATTTTATAAAGAATCTCTAAATATATAGCAGGAGCACTGGACCATATGTGGCAGCAATATTCTAAGCATGGTAGACTTATAGATACAGGATGCGATGGATGAATTGTCGTCTAAAACTCTTTGTCTTCATTTGAGGAAAAAGTGTGAATCCACATCCATCAGACACTTTGCTATACAAACCAGCATTGCTTATCTTGTCTGTTATGCTTATAACATTTTGGTTGTTGTACCCTCTGACCGTCAGCTGTTTGTCATTGTACTCTGTAACTTTCTTGGGATTCTGAACTGGACGCTTTATTCAATCTACAGGTTTAGAGTGTTTTCATTCTACTTTTCAGTCTTAGGGGAGACAACTCTTATCATTTGATATTCATCAGTCTTATTCATGTTTGTGCCACTTGTCTGTTCCTGCCACTTAGCCGGAGTATATGACATTTTTGTCACAGCTATCAGGAAACTGTTTAAATCAACTAAGCCATATGTCCCTTGGACAATCTAGTCTTAGTTCTGAAGCTTTAAACCTTGTGTCTGTACTCACAAGGTGGGAGTGTATAATTGATTCAAATTTTTTATGGTTTATCAACCCTTTTTAACTATTTAACCCATGGTTGGTTGGAGATGGATTCATACCATTCCCATTTGTGTGTGCTATCCATTACACCACCTCCACATCTATGGAATTGTATGAGCATCCCAACTTGGATGGTGGGTCTGTAACTTGGGAGTTAGAATTTTGTCAAGTTTTCTTAATCAGATATTCCCAGATGTTACACATTTTTATGCTAGGTATGCTGAGTAGGTTCTCATTACCAGAAATGTATGTTGATTCTTTCATTTCTCTTATCCTCTTCTGTTGTCCTCTATTATCTTGACTTCATACTACAGAGGTTAATGACCATCCTCTTTTCTCTATATATGATCAGATATGCCTGATTTCATTATCTTCTTAGTAGATCTAGCATAAAGATGAATACTGTTTGGGAGTTATAGTCAGTTGGTTAACGTTCTGAGATGTTCTTCACAAATTGGATTGAGTGACTTTTTTTTTTTTATAAACACAATTGGAAATGGAGCTTAGGATCCCGCCCTCTCTAAAAAAGAAAAATATTTGCTGAGGGAACCATTAAATCTACAATATTTTTATTCCATATTTTTATTTATTTATTTATTTATTTTTTATTTTTCCAGATCAAAAATCTGCTCAGCCACAAACTTCTTCAATGGCAGACACAAACTCCCTGATCCAAGCTATCACTGTGGGAAAGGGCCTGAAGCAGCCTACCCCCAGACGTTCAGAAAACTCTCATCAAAACAACAACAATGTAAACTCACAACAACAATCACAGAAAGCACCTCGTAAGTATGACATTTTTTCCTAATAAGTATAATGTAAGGGTAACATTTCAAAGCTCCATTCTTGAACAGATGATGCTGTCAGATCATTCATGTCCAAATCATGCATAAAATTGGCTATGACAGAAATTCTTTCAGTTTTCAATTTAGCTTTTGAAATAAAATTAACTAAAAGTTAATTTGGTTAAAAGGTAAAAAATATCTATTGTATTTGATGCTATGTAAGTCTTCTCCATTTACATTCAATATTCCATTATTATGGAGTCAGGTTAGGGACAAGTACTGATAATCTATGGCATCTGGGTAAACATTAGCCTACCAGATACCTCCACTTTACATAGAAGACTTCCCTTATTTACATTTAATATTCCAGTATTATGGAGTTAGGCTAGGGACAAGTATTGATAATCTATGGCATCTGGGTAAACATTAGCCTACCAGATACCTCCACTTCACATAGAAGACTTTCCTTATTTACATTTAATATTCCAGTATTATGGAGTTAGGCTAGGGTCAAGTACTGATAATCTATGGCATCTGGGTAAACATTAGCCTACCAGATACCTCCACTTCACATAGAAGACTTTCCTTATTTACATTTAATATTCCAGTATTATGGAGTTAGGCTAGGGACAAGTACTGATAATCTATGGCATCTGGGTAAACATTAGCCTACAGATACCTCCACTTCACATAGAAGACTTTCCTTATTTACATTTAATATTCCAGTATTATGGAGTTAAGCTAGGCACAAGTACTGATAATCTATGGCATCTGGGTAAACATTAGCCTGACAGATACCTCCACTTCACATAGAAGACTTTCCTTATTTACATTTAATATTCCAGTATTATGGAGTTAGGCTAGGGACAAGTACTGATAATCTATGGCATCTGGGTAAACATTAGCCTACCAGATACCTCCACTTCACATAGAAGACTTTCCTTATTTACATTTAATATTCCAGTATTATGGAGTTAGGCTAGGGACAAGTACTGATAATCTATGGCATCTGGATAAACATTAGCCTACCAGATACCTCAACTTCACATAACAGACTCTGTCACTACTCCCTCCATCTATGGGTTAAATAGCATAAAAGATGAATACAAAACGTGAGTTATGTGGTGATATCTTAGAATACCAGGTACCTTATCTTTGCATATAAAAACAGGTAGGTTTTTAAGACATTTTTGTTGAAAAAGATTACAAATTATGTAAGCTATTCATGTTAAGGACATAGGAGATCATGGCTCTCCACAGCTTCCTTACCTTTATTATTTGCCATGACTTCTTGGGAAAGATAGTAGAGTGGCTTCCTTCCCCTAAACTAGTTCCCTTTTTTTAGATGCCATATCCCTTTAGGATGGAAACAGTCATGGCTCTCCACAGATTCCTTTCCTTTATTATCTGTGAATTGCCATGACTTCTTGGGAAAAATAGTAGAGTGGTTTCCCCATTTCCTTCTCCTAAACTAGTTCACTTTTTTTAGATACCATGTGTCTTCAAGACAGAAACAATTATGGCTCTCCACAGATTCCTTTATTATCTATGAATTGCTATGACTTCTTGGGAAAGACTTTAGCCTTGTGTGGCAGTCAATCGAGGAGAAGGACAACTCCAAATTCAAAATCATGGAAGAGGCAACAGGAAATTACATGATTTATTAGTTTTTAGAATGTTGTAAATATAAAATAGTATAATGGTATTAGCACGTAAGTGAATGTTATTCGAATTCCAGTTGGATACATTACATTCACTTACATACTAATACCCTTCGGATAGGTATCACTCCTCTTCTTCTGCCCCCCAGCTATGGCTAAATAGGACAGACTGGGTTCTACAGCGTTGGGTGGCAACTATCTAGGAAAAGGAAAAACTCTGAATTCAAAATCAGTCTAGAGAGGGTTGGGCTCCGTCAGGCTATCTTACCCAAGAAACCCTACTTCTACTGCGGCTGCAGTACACATTGTGTCCTTATGTGATAAAAAAAATGTATGAAATTATTCTTGTAAATAAACAGTCTAATAAATAAATAAATAAATAGTATTTAATATTTTTGTGGTAAATTCTCAAGAACACAAAAAAAAACTGCATAAAACCTATGAAAATTTAATTTATTATAATTTATGCAGTTTGTATTTTGTTCTTGAGAATTTACAACAAAAATATTAAATACTATAAATTGATGAGACCTTGTTGCCAATCTAGTACTGCGCTTAAATTCATTAAAGTCTTGGTACCATAGTGAAGAGCTAATCTGAACAATTACCATGAAAATATATATAGAGAGAGAAGCACAGGGAAAAATTGACTGAAGCTGAGGTGCCAGTTCAGGTGCAATAATATTGCTGATTCTTCTTTGAATTTTATAAAGAATCTCTAAATATATAGCAGGAGCAATTCTAGACCATATGTGGCAGAATATTCTAAGCATGGTAGACTTATAGATACAGGATCATCGATGGATGAATTTACCAAAATTACACAAAAATATCTTGAAATACTAAAGAGTAAGTTTATTCAATAAAATCACTATTGGCTTCAACCATGGCCTCCAGACAACTTTGGAGTCTCTTGCAACTCTTTTGGGTGATCTCCTTGTTTAAGTTGGTGAATGCTGCCATAATCCTTGCCTTCAGTTCATCTTTAGTGTTATAAGGAGTTTTATTGGTCTCTTGCTCAACTGCACCCCACACATAATAATAAAGTGGGTTGCAAGTCTAGGGAGTTAGGTGGCCAGATGTAAGGGTTGATGTGGTCGCAGAAATTGTGTGGCATGGTGCAGAGTCCTGTTGCCAGACATGTTTTTCCAGCAGTCACCTTCTTGACCTAGGGCACCAGTACCTCTTCAAGGCACTTGATGTAGGCCTCCGTAATGAGTTTGAGGCCATGTGGCAAGATGAATGGAAGCATAACATCGCCATCACTAGTGATCACACCAAACTCCTTCATAATCACCATGGGACTCATCCAACTCTTTCCGAATCCTCTATACTGTTCTCAGATTGGCACCCAAACACTCTGTTGTCCTGGGTATGACGTTAAACTGCATCCAACAGCAAGATAATGTGTTTTCGGAAAAATAATGTTGCCAGCTATACGTTTTTGAAACAATGTTGCCAGCTATACGTTTAATAATACTGTATATTTAATATATGTATGTATGTATGTATATATATATATATATATATATATATATATATATATATATATATAAAAAACTTAATTTGGCATTAAATGACCTACAGTGGTTGATATGCCATAAAACCCAACCAACCAAACACTCTGAAATGTTCATATTGGAGCTTCCAGTATGAATGCCAAACAGTACAGCATGCCGTTTAAAAATTTCTGGTGGAGTGAATTGCTCTTTTTTCTCACAGTGCCTAACTGACCCTAATATAATGTGCAGTTGAAGAAATCAAAAACAAACAACGCACGTGCATGCAACTAAAAATAATAAAATGGCGACAATTTACCCATCGCACCCTGTATATAGGACAGATTCTGGAGAGAGAAATTGTCTAGCATGACACAGTCATCCAACTTTCTTAGCAGCTGACCAAGAAATGGCTTCAATGTTGTCCTTCCACTTCATGTCAGCTGAAAAGGTGCAATGATTCGCTCTTCTGGTCATGCCTTTTGCCAAACTTTCAGGTACTTTTTTTGTAAAACTTGGTGACTTCATTATTATAATAGTTACCTGTCTTATCAGCTCTAATTATTACTTTATCAGTATTTTTTAGTTTTTATTTAAGTCATCTTATTACATTTTTTTTGTTGAAGGCTATTAGAAAACTTAGTGAATTTTATTTTATTAACTATTGAAAATAAATGCTTCTCGAAGCCTATTCGCTGATCATCTGATGGTGGAGTCTGAATATGTAATCTTCAAATTCTTGTTGCAGGCTATTAGAAAACTTAGTGAATTTTATTTTATTAACTATCGAAAATAAGTCCTTGAAGCCTGTTCACGGACCATCTGGTGGTGGAGTCTGAATCTATCGAAAATAGGTCCTTGAAGCCTGTTCACGGACCATCTGGTGGTGGAGTCTGAATCTATCCCAATAGGTCCTTGAAGCCTGTTCACGGACCATCTGGTGGTGGAGTCTGAATCTATCGAAAATAAGTCCTTGAAGCCTGTTCACGGACCATCTGGTGGTGGAGTCTGAATCTATCGAAAATAGGTCCTTGAAGCCTGTTCACGGACCATCTGGTGGTGGAGTCTGAATCTATTTCAATAAAATAGGTCCTTGAAGCCTGTTCACGGACCATCTGGTGGTGGAGTTTGAATCTATTTAAAAATAAGTCCTTGAAGCCTGTTCACGGACCATCTGGTGGTGGAGTCTGAATCTATCGAAAAATAAGTCCTTGAAGCCTGTTCACGGACCATCTGGTGGTGGAGTCTGAATCTATATAAAAAATAGGTCCTTGAAGCCTGTTCACGGACCATCTGGTGGTGGAGTCTGAATCTATCGAAAATAAAGTCCTTGAAGCCTGTTCACGGACCATCTGGTGGTGGAGTCTGAATCTATCAAAAATAAGTCCTTGAAGCCTGTTCACGGACCATCTGGTGGTGGAGTCTGAATCTATGAAAATAGGTCCTTGAAGCCTGTTCACGGACCATCTGGTGGTGGAGTCTGAATCTATGCCTAGGTCCTTGAAGCCTGTTCCACGGACCATCTGGTGGTGGAGTCTGAATCTATTTTAAAAATAAGTCCTTTAAGCCTGTTCACGGACCATCTGGTGGTGGAGTCTGAATCTATGTTCAAAATAGGTCCTTGAAGCCTGTTCACCACCATCTGGTGAGTGGAGTCTGAATCTATAAAAATAAAACATCCTTGAAGCCTGTTCACGGACCATCTGGTGGTGGAGTCTGAATCTATCGAAAATAAGTCCTTGAAGCCTGTTCACGGACCATCTGGTGGTGGAGTCTGAATCTAAAAAAAATAGGTCCTTGAAGCCTGTTCACGGACCATCTGGTGGTGGAGTCTGAATCTATTCCTTGTTCACGGACCATCTGGTGGTGGAGTCTGAATCTGATCAAAAATAGGTCAATTTAAGCCTGTTCACGGACCATCTGGTGGTGGAGTCTGAATCTATCGAAAATAGGTCCTTGAAGCCTGTTCACGGACCATCTGGTGGTGGAGTCTGAATCTATCGAAAATAGGTCCTTGAAGCCTGTTCACGGACCATCTGGTGGTGGAGTCTGAATCTATCGAAAATAAGTCCTTGAAGCCTGTTCACGGACCATCTGGTGGTGGAGTCTGAATCTATCCTTGAAGCCTGTTCATAACCATCTGGTGGAGTCTGAATCTATCGAAAATAGGTCCTTGAAGCCTGTTCACGGACCATCTGGTGGTGGAGTCTGAATCTATCAAAATAAGTCCTTGAAGCCTGTTCACGGACCATCTGGTGGTGGAGTCTGAATCTATAAAATAAGTCCTTGAAGCCTGTTCACGGACCATCTGGTGGTGGAGTCTGAATCTATCGAAAAATAAGTCCTTGAAGCCTGTTCACGGACCATCTGGTGGTGGAGTCTGAATCTATCTAAAATAAGTCCTTGAAGCCTGTTCACGGACCATCTGGTGGTGGAGTCTGAATCTATCAAATAAAATAAGTCCTTGAAGCCTGTTCACGGACCATCTGGTGGTGGAGTCTGAATCTATAAAAATAAGTCCTTGAAGCCTGTTCACGGACCATCTGGTGGTGGAGTCTGAATCTATCGAAAATAAGTCCTTGAAGCCTGTTCACGGACCATCTGGTGGTGGAGTCTGAATCTATCGAAAATAAGTCCTTGAAGCCTGTTCACGGACCATCTGGTGGTGGAGTCTGAATCTATCCCAAAATAAGTCCTTGAAGCCTGTTCACGGACCATCTGGAGTCTGAATCTATCGAAAAATCCTTGAAGCTATAAAACCATCTGTGGTGGAGTCTGAATCTATCGAAAATAAGTCCTTGAAGCCTGTTCACGGACCATCTGGTGGTGGAGTCTGAATCTATCGAAAATAAGTCCTTCTCAAAGCCTATTTGCTGATCATCTGGCGTGGAATCTGAATCTGTAATCTTCAAATTCTTTTAGATCCTCAATTTTTTTAATTTCTTTAAAACTATTTGTTCAACAGCGATAGATTCTGGAAAGCATTTGATGTGATTTTATTATTTTTTTATAGAAAACTTTTAGAAAAGATTATTTTGACTCAGTTAATTAAAGTATTTCTAACAACTTCTTTTATATTGCTCGTAGTTAACAAGTCATGCATCGAAAGTGTATTTTTGATAAAGAGATAATAAAATTGTGACTGTTAGAATTGATGATGTCTTGAAAAGAGAATTTTTTTTAATTAATGTTTAATTTGGATGTAAAATTAATGAGAGAATATATTATATGAAACTTCATTGTTTTTTTTTGTTTTTTTTTACTTCCAGAATCTGCAACCATTTCAAAAGCACCAAGTACCATTAAAACAAATATTAAGGCAGGATCAGCTAACCATCCCTATCAAAGATCTTGAACTCCCTTAATAAGCGGTCAGTCTACTAAAAATGTCCAGCAATATCAACCCCAGTGCTTCTCTCAGTGTAGAAAAATTGTCACTGGTGTATATAGAAACAGTTGTAAATAAATGTTTTTTGCTTAGAATTTTTTTCAATTTTTGTTATTTTCTTCTTTTTTTATTATCAGTTTTCTTTCATAATGTTAGTCTGTTTATGATGTCGGTTTTTCTTAAAATATACCAAATTTTTTTTTTTAATATAATACACTGTACTGTATAAGATGTACCCTTATTTTGAAGATAAAGTTTTGAGCGAAAAAAAGTAGTATTTAAGATTTTTATTGCAGAAAAATTCTGCTTGATAATTTCAAAATTGGTGTACATTGTTTTAAACAGAGAAAATCTTGAAACATCAAATATGAAAATACAGTAAATCAAAAAAAAATAAATGATTTATTGTTATTTAGTTTAACTTGAAACTTATGAAATGATAATTGCCTTTATTATTGTGTGGAAAGGAATCAAACACTTGATCTAAAATTACGATCAAAGATAATGTTGGGCTTTTCACTTTTACTATCACTTGGAAAGGAATCATACTTTTTTCGCACAAATGGTTTTTAATGATTGGAACCAAAATTATCATCGAAGATCTCATCTTTTTTGATTTTACAATGGAGTAATGGATAGCGGCTTGGATTGAGGAATCAGAGAGCCAAGTTTGAATTCCAGTCGAATCCATTGCATTCACTTACATACTAATACCCTTGGGAAAGGTATGAATCCTCCTCTTCTCCCCCCCAGCTATGGGTAAATAGCAGGACAGACCAGGTTCTTGGATGGCAACTGGTCTACTGCAGAAAGAAATGGCAACCTACTGTGGGGGAAAAATCTGCCTTGTCACTAATACCCTTGGGAAAGGTATGAATCCTCTTCTCCCCACCAGCTATGGGTAAATAGCAGAACAAACTTGGTTCTATAGCCTTGGATAGAAACTGGTCTACTGCACAATGAAATGGCAACCTACTGTGAGAAAAAAATCTGCCTCGTCAGTCATGTATCGAAAAGTACATGATAGCCTAAACGTGTATCACACATGGCACATAACTGACATTGCTTGGAAACGCATCAGGCATTTCATGATTGGATCTAATATTATGATCAAAGATGATATCATCCTTGGTCTCATCCATTGTGTTACTGATGTTACATTTCTTAAATGAATCACTATATCATATCTTGTTTTCCCAAAAATTCTTTATCCTTATGTACACCTGAACAACTGTCGGACTTTTGCTTTGTCCAGTAGGAGCTCTAGAAAATCTTCCTGCTGCTGTTTTTTGTTTCATTTCTCCCTTTCAGCTCTGTAAAAATCTTGCCTACTACACAGAAAACACATGGTTCTTAATAATGACTGAGATGGTCAAAAATACTTGAACAAAAACAACAGAATATCCATGATCTTCAGGTAGTTTATCCACAATTTTGATGTCCTGGGTAAGACGATAAACTACATTCAACAACAAGGCCTCTAATCAAGTTTTGAGAAGCGTGGAACCATCTCTAATTGCTGGTGTTCCCAGGTCCACCCTGACCCGGGGTGGTAGCACCTGTTAGGGTCCCAACTATGGGCAAATAGTTAACCCCCAAACTGGGGTTAAAACACTATGAAAGTGCAAAAATAGGTTTTAATACCAGCAATAAATTTTTTGAAGGAAAAATTATTACCAGCAATACATTTTTGAAAAAAATATTACCAGCAATAAAAATCTTGTTGGCATTAAATAACCCATTTATATGCTGTAAAACAAAAAACCAAATTAAACCATAAATATTTTGATCCTGATATCCAGCATCTTATTTGAAAATGGAAAATTGCAATGAAAATGTGACAGACCTTGTTTGTTGAATTTAAATTATACTTGTTTAGCACAAACACACACAAAATATATATATATATATATATATATATAGTTATATATATATATATCAAATATAACCAAATGCAGTTCAATTTATATTACAATGAATCATTCATACAAAAGTAAATTAGTAAAGTTAATGATATAAAATGGCGTTGCAGGATCAAATAACAAAATTTTTTTAAAGTTGCATTAACCTACAAATCACTTGATGAATGTTATGATCCTTTTTTTAAAAATTATAAGCTGTATAAGGTCTTTTCCTCAAGGACACATGGCACAGTGGATAGAGGTTCAATACCCGGTTAAGGCAGTGGAGAGCTTGGCGAGGGGAATTAACAGGAGATGACTAATAACTGACATCTATAAAAAACATGTCGCGTGGAACTAGAACAGTCTACCACTGAGCGAAATAAAGGGTTCAATTCGACATTCCAACCACCTGAATAAGGCCAGAGTGTGCAACGGCTGAAACATTGTGATAAATATGGCGACAAAGATGAGGACAATAGTTTGAATAATGTAAATAGAGAAAGAAAAAAACCTTAAAAATGATCTTAGGTGTGTGTGTGTGCAAAAGTTTCCAGCAAAGTTTTTGGCACTTTTATCCAGTGTTTTTTTTGTTTTTGTTTTGTTTTTAATTACAAGAAAAAAACCTTAATTTAAAAAAAAAAAAAAAAACAGATAAAATAAAACTGGTCAAAACTTTTACACACTTAATTCCTCTTCTTTTATTTAATGTTTTCCGTTGACCTGAAGTGGAAAGATTATATTAAATCAAAGTCTGAAGCTAAGAACGTTGATTGACTCTGTCATGTCAGACAATTTTTCTTGCCAGAATCTATCTTACATATTTGTAAGTCTATCATTCATCGTTGCTTTGAAATATTTTTTCTTTTTATTTTAAATCAAGCCAAATTCATGTATATTCTTTATCTTTCCATCATCTTTGTTATTAAACATATCACCATTCTTGGCAAATTTTCTGTTATCAAAATGTGGGATATTAAATAAATTGATAGAAAGAAAAAGAATATAAATCAATGTGGGTAGATTGCAAAAAAAAAAAAATACATTTCTAAAAAAAATTAATTCTAAATTTTGTAACTTTCAATTTAATGTCTCATTTTGGTGCATGTGTAATTTTCAACAATGTAAAAGCAAAACAATTTTTTTTGGTCCTAACGAATGAAATGTGTCACAAAAACGTTTTCCAATTTGTCATACATCCTTTCTTTTAAAACTGTTCTTGATATATAAAAATTTTTATATATATATATATAAAGAAAGAGCAGTAAGATATATAATCCAGTGTTCTTATTGATATTTTATTTTTTACAAAATAGTGCTCAATTAAAATTTACAGAGTTGATTTTTTTATAAATTAAAAAAAAATTTGGAGCTTTCAATTCCATTTTTGAAACATGGTTAGAACTGTGTAAAAAAAAAATATTTTTAATTAATTTATAATATATCCGTTTGGAAACCTAAAAATTTGTCTGGCTTTTAGGTAAATCTATATATATATATATATATATATATATATATATATATGTATATATATATATATTATATTGAATAAAAAGGAAATATTATATAGGTTTTTTTTAAATTTTATACAAATTTCTCATGCAATCTAATAACTTTTTTTTTTCAAATGATAAATTATATAAAAAATTGTCTGAATATTTTTTATTCCAAGAACATTTTCTAGCTATACATTTAGCCATTTTCCAAGATTAAATATTTTAACTGTTAAATAAAAATAGTTTTTGCATGTATGTTTTATAAAATGTTTTTTATTTTTCAAAATAAAATCAAGATATTTGTCACATGCAACAACTATTTATTATTTAACATATAAAATATTTAATATTTATTTCTAAAATTAAATGTATAGTTAAAGCATTTTTAAATATATATATTTTTTATATATAATTTATCATCTTAAAAAAAAAAATTATTGGATTTGTTTTGAGAAATTGTTCTAAAAAAAACTAAATAAAAAACACCTTTGTCTGTCGAGTATTGAAATAGAGCATGAAAAATTGTATCAGAAAATAAATATATATATATATATATATATATATATATATATATAAATTTATAAATCATATATTTATATATATATATATATATATATATATTCAGTAAGTCAGAAAACCTATAGGTTTCACCTAAACGGATTGTCAGGAAAATATAGCTAAAATATAGGAAATAAAAATTTTTTTTTTTTTTTCCTAAACCAAACTTTCCTTGACGATCCATTTGGTGAAACCTAGGTAGGTTTGTTTGGCTCACTAGGTGTATCTAGGTCTGCTCTACGGTTGTATTGAGCTCTTTTGTTAGTTAGTTGTTACTCGTATCGGGGTTTTTTTTTTTGGGCTTCAGACCTGCATCTGTGCGATTTTTTTTTCGGCAGAAGTTCATGTTTGTAGCTCTTTCTTTTTTTAAACCTTTTTTTCCCTCGAGATTGATTTGATTAGCAAATCAAAAATTCGAGGGTTTTTCAAACAAGTCTAGTTATCTATATTTATATATATATATATATATATATATATATATATATATATATATTTTATATATGGTTGAAAATGGTGTTATAGCTGCCCTTGATGAGGGTAAATCAGTCTAAAAATATTTGGGCATTAGCAATCCTTTTAGTGTTGGTTTCATAATAAAAAAGAAAGGAAAATAAAACTTTATTACAGCTTAACAAAATTGCAAACTTTAAATGTGTAAAACCATTAAAATGTACTGATTTGATATTGACTGTGATCCGGAGAGGTTAAACTACGATAACAACACAACAGTTGTTCAGAGTTTCCATGACAAGTCTTTTTGCAAAAAGTTTTTTATGGTTTCGACAAACATTTCACCATTGAAACAAATCTTCTTATATTGGTTTTCTGATATACTACATCAATTAGTTCCAATTTATTAAGCTACCATAAAAACTCTATGAAACAACATCAAATTCATCTTATAATTAGAATGTATGAACTCTCCAATGACAAAAACTCAGCACCAGAAAGAAAACAGCTCTTTTTTTTTGGATAAAAAAGAAACAACATTGATATAGCTGCACTGAGAAGT